CTCATATGAAAAGCCTGATAATGCAATTATGTCATGTCATGGATTATGCAGAACTTTTACAAGGGCATGCAAAGTCACTCTAGGTTGAATACTACAAGTATCATCAGCCTGCAAGTATCATCTTGCCATGGGCTGGATATGGTTCAAGTCACTGACTGCAAACCATGGCTGATACAATCTTTTCATCACCTGAAAAAAGGTCACTATTAACGGAAGGAAGAACTCCAGATTCACAGGTGATGCACTCTTAAACTCCATATTTCACAAAATAAAGCACACTGGGTTTTAATATCTCCCTTTACTAAACTCACTGTAATGGACTTACACATCTGGCTAACCCTTTGCCTTCACCAGCTGTGGAATCACGCTAGAGTTCCACCCAACTTCACAAGTGATTTGGATGTGCTCCTGACCTAATTTATGCTTCTGACCAATGCAGAAAAAAAATCTGCTTCAAGTTTGTTCTTGAGTTGCTTTCTTGTATCCAGTGTTTGGCAAGCCGGGCATTCTAAGTATCCAATTAGCAATAATTAAATCAAGGATAGGGAACCAATTTTGTTCAGAGTTAGATCTTGAAAGCTTCCAGAGATATATTCCTCAAAGCAGTTCACAGCATTTGTTAATACGACACTGGCAAAGCTAGATATGGATCACCAAAATTTAAGTTGTATAAGAGTAATGTTTGGCATCTGAGATGTGAAAGGGGCTCCAAGTGGATTGGTTGGCCAACAGTTTTAATAAAGGTTACAGACACCACAATTAGGAAGAGGTTTAATGATGTTTCAAGCTAACGCCATGTCAATTAGAGTTAATATTTGCAAAGACTGTGCAGAAATAAATCTATGGACCAAAATCATCCTTTTTATATTTAATAAGAAGAAGACATTTTCAGCACAGGAAATGATCGAAGTCTGGCTCTACCTTCAGATCTCAAATGAAAGTACAGCAAATACAGTAAAGTATCTTGGCAATCATTTTGCTTAAAAGAAACAGAACATCGGGCACCCCAAATTATTTAAAATGGGGTCTGCTGTCCTCACTGGAAGGGGGAATTAAGTCTTTCATTTTGCTCACTGCTAGAAAAGGGGAAGTAGCATAAGGAAGCTTCTGGATCTCAAACACTGCCTCATTTGTACAGAGGCAAAACAATTCACTTAACAGAGATCAACCCAGGGACAAGAGTCCTGTACCAAACCCAATGCCAAATCTACCCATATCCACTCAGGCAATACTATTACAGAATAACATTGCCATAATATCAGGATTTCATTCTCCTGTTCACCCTTCAATATGATACATTACCATAATCTACTAGCGGTGCTCTTCTGCTGTCCACAGAGGTGAAAAAAGAATAAATGACACAGATCTGATATTTTTAAAAATGGCAACATTCAGAAACTAGTGCAAGGAGGTTTCAGTCTCCCATGTCACTTCACTTTGCTACTGGCATGAAACTCACTATCCTTCAACAGGGGAAAACTTCAAAGGGAACAAATGAAAATGCTGAACTAGATTTTAACCATCAAGTCTGACTATTCATTTTGGATTCAGTGAAGGATTTCTCACCTAGTACATGCATTCAAATTGGCATAGCAAAACTAAGATAGTAAAAAGAAAAAGTAGCTCAGTAGAATTAGAAATATTGTACTGATATGAATGATCACTGTGCTTATCTTCTATATTTGAACTTGTATTTTGTGACTCCTTGGCTTCACTATTTAAATATTCTCTCTGTATTGGGGATAACACTTTGTCTGATGAAAGGTATGGCTCAAATACACAGTGGATGAAGTAGGGTTAAACCTGGTAACAAGTCTATTTGCCAAAGGTTACTCCTAAATATGGTCCTTCTGATAAAAGGATCCTCATTAAATCCTTTCTGTTGATTGTCCATACAACACTCCAAGATGTTACATTTTTATCCTTTCTTTCCTCTGAGGGATCATTTTGTATTCACAACAACCCTGTTTAGTGGGTTAAACTGACTGAATGGCCCCAAGCCACTTCACAGCTGAACCCAGGTCTCTTCAGCCGATGCTAGAATTCTACGTACTATATCACGGTGGGGATTTGCTGGCTCAAAGTTCATTCTATTTACCGCTCCACCACACTAGCTCTCAGTGTAGGAGGCTACTCATAAAATCACTGAACACAGATTAGTCAGCTCTTACCATTTTTTAGCTATTTGTCCACACAATCAAGGTGAACAAAGTAATGCTTAATCGCAGGGTCTCGCTTCCCCCCCAATTCTACAATTCTTTCAATAGATACTGAAGTGAGAGCTCAAAATCTACATTCATACCAAACGTACATATTCTTCAGATAAGCCTTGAATTGCTACTACTTACTACTAGTAGTAATTCCAATATAAACCAGCATGAAGACAATGGGCGTAGTCTGCTTTTCACTATATCTCAATGCTTTCTAGGAATATATATATGTATATGTGTATATATGTGTATGTGTATATATGTATGTACGTATATGTATGTATATATATGTATCTGTGTGTGTGTACATTAAGAACAAAATTGAAGGACTGGAAGAAGGAGAGATTGAGGGTCAATAATAAAAATGTACAAGCTTTTTGAGGATGCCTTTTTACCAGAAATTCAGCATCTTTGGTCCTAACAGCAGCCTACTCAAAGACCTTGTACAATGATCAACATAAAATTCACCTAAACTACAAATGCCAGGGAGCTACTATCTTTGAACACAATACACAGACCAAAACTTGGGCATGCAACACAAACACTCAGACCTGGACTAGAAGAACAGATGAGAAGAGTTTCAGAGAGATGGGCAACAACTCTCAAAAGAGATATTTACACTCTCCCCATATGTGCCTCAGAGAGCCTTGTGCTCTGTGGACAGCCATCTGCTGGTTGTCCCCAGCCTAAAAGCTTCAACCAGGGCCAGGGCTTTCTCAGGCCTGGCCCCAGACTGGTGGAATATGCTCCTGATTGAGATCAGAGCCCTGCGAGACCTGTTGCAGTTTCACAGGGCCTGTAAAACGGAGCTGTTCCACCAGGCCTTTGGCTGAGGCAGTGGGCATCTACCAGCTGGCCTCCCTACTACTGCTACATGAGACCATCATGGCCCGGCATTGGCCCACTTATTTTCCCATCTGTAGAAACTGGAATTAAATGCATTGCAAGTGGTTTTATTGTATTATTTTAGATTGTTTTGTATTTATTGTTGTGAGCCGCCCTGAGCCCGTTCACGGGAAGGGCGGGATATAAATAGAAATAAATTTAAAAATGTAACTTGGCAGAGGTCTCGCTAACCTGTAACAAAATAAACTGAGGCCAAGCTGACAGACTGAAACAATTATTTCATAGGTGCAAGTTCTTTTAACCTTCATAATTGCTGGAGTTGTTTATCCTAAATGGCTAGGTGCTAACTGAAAATTTAAACAAGTATATAAAACAGGTCTTCTTCAATCCATGGGTATGATAGATAACACCAGATTAATTAGGACAGCTAAATCTACATTGTAAAAGCCTTCCACTAATCCAATGGCTTCTCGATTAACATTCTGCCCTCATGCTTATTAACTATGTCCAGTATCACCAGTTATTTTAAAACAACAAGTGCCATTTCAGTCAAACAAACTGGGGGAAAGGGGGCCAAGGAGGTCACCAGCAGTTTGACAGACAAGCAAAGGGGGAAAAATCAGAAGAGTTTGTCACACGGCTGCTTCTAAAAGAAGGCTGAAGTAAGCCCCTAAAGACCACAAAGAGAATAAGGTAAAAATACTTGGGAGTGAGAGATACCATGTCCCCATCTCAAATGAAATCAATCACATGGGGCAATTTCATATTCTTAAGTGGAAAGGAACTAAACATTTACAGTTCCTAGACTCATCTTCTGCTAATCAAATACACAACTAATAATTTTTTTAAGTCATGTGTGATTGCCTCTCTACTGACAGTATACATCTATTGATGACTTTAAAAACAGATTAATCAGATTCATGGAATACAGCTCTATCATTGGCTATGACATGTCCAACAGTAATGTAACCTCCACGTATAGAGACAGTATATCTCTGAATATAAGACGGTAGAGGGAAAATAATAAAGGAAAGCCATCACCTTCATACCTGGCTTCTAAGCTCCTAAAGGCACCTGAGCGGGCTGCCAGAACCAGGATGCTGACCCAGACAGATGCAGCACAGCAATTCTTATATTTTACAGACTTCCCCAAATTTAAGCCCTTTGCCTCCCCTATATCCTCATCTAACAGACACCATCCTCCCACAAAAGCATGTGCAGAAGAAAGCCAAAAGGTACAAGTCTTTAAATTTTCCCTGTCATCATAATACAAGGGTGTCACCACTACTAATTCTCACTCCGTGCATCTCTCCACTCCTGTCTCCTCCCTTTCAGGATCACAGTTTCCTTCTGCACCTAGATAACTGTCCCATTTTTCTTGGCAATGTAGCACTGGGTCTAACCTCACTCTATTTTGAGAATAAACAGAGACAACCTTCTCTTCCCAATCTATCTGATGCTCTCGCTCTCTCACACACACACACAAACGCACATTGTGCTCCCCACCTACCAATGAAAGGATGCCACAAATCGCACCCCGCGTGCTTTGGGTATTCTATAGACCCACCCAATTCAGCCTCCTTCCACCACACTAAGAAGATGCCTACATTTGCCACCCCATGCAAAAAGGATGGGCTTAGTTTTTTTAAATCCTTCTACTTCACTGTAACAGGATGTTACGGCCACTATTAATAAATACCAATAGTTGCGATATTATGGAGGATTTTCAGAGCAAATAAGCATTTAGCCTCTCCCACTCAGCCTGGGGGATGCCACGAGATATTTCCTCCTCGCCGCCGCCACCATGTTCACACATATAATGAAATCCACCCTCATCTGCAGCGATGATGATAACGATGAAGCTTAGGTCGGCGCCCCCCCCCCCCCCGCCTCCAGGTAACGGAAACCACCCCTCCCCCATGGCCGCCCCCGCAACCCCCTCACCTTTCACGATGCGCTCCGTCGTGGGCAGTTTGCCGCCCTGGCCGCGCCCGGACATGGTCCCGCCTGTTCCGTCGGCTCCCGGGACCCTCCTGCCTCCCCACGGGAGGGGCCGGGACTCCGGCGGCGGCAGCAGCGGCGGCTTAGCAGGCCCAGGCGGCGACGGTGACGGCAGCAAAGGCGCAAGAACAAGGGAATCCTCTCAGGGTCCGGGCGGCGGCAGCGGCGGCTCTCTCCACCCGAGCCCCCCGCGCCTGCCCGCTACCACGCATGCGCCAGCGTCGATACTCACTCCCCTCCCCTCCTTCCACGGCACACAAGGCACAAGCTGTCAAGGCCGCCGTCTCTTTGATGGCAGAGCGCAGGCGCGTGCAGCCCTCATCTCCCTGACACCCGCCCTCCCACTTCCACCGCCCGTTACGCATGCGCTAAAGGAACCCTTCCTAGTCTGCTTTCCATACGGTGTGATTGGCCACCACTACGCCTGCGCGTGGAAAGGGGAAGGGAAAGTTGGGGGGGGGATTAAACAGCAACCTACGCTCCATTCGGTCACGTGACCAAGTTGCGGTCAATGGACTTTCCTTTTCCCTCCCCCTTTTTCCGTGCCGCCATTTTGAATGGGAAGAAGAGTTGCTAGGAAACAAACAGCTGGAGCCAGAATGAAGAGACCGAAGTGATGGGGGGGGAGGGGTTAGCGGAGATGCGGCTCCAAAGCCTGCCTAAATGTGCAAAAGGCTAATAGGCCAAACGGGCAGCTTTAACATGCCCTGCTTATCCTGTGCCCTCCGCCCACTCGGTTATAGTATCCTCCAGCGGGCCTGGAAGAGCGCTGAAGGCAAACGCTCTTACCACGTAATCATATTAGCGCTGGGACAGTATACGGGGACAATGCGCAGCCTCTGCCATCCGGCAGCAAAGGTAATAACAATGGCAACAACCGGAGGGGTCAACGTTAGTAGTCGGTTATAGCCGAAAGAAAGCTCCTTAAGTGCTACATTTGTTGTACCATCAGCCTTCAAAGAACCCACATCATGAGATAAGTGACAAATGTACAAAGAGAAGAATAGTTAGGGATGTGTGTTACATTACTGTCTAGCCATGACTGAACAGCAGACTGGGAGAAGTAGGCCATTGCCAACAAGAAATAAGTTAGCAGAACATATTTATTTACATTACTTATAGCCTGTCTTTCTCACTGAGACTCAAGGCAGATTATAAAATAAGAAGCAATGCAATCAAACATTGTAAAACAATGAACTATGCAATAGGTTTAGGATGGTGTTAGAAAAATTGTCTTAGAGGCATTGTATGCTATAAATGGCACCAGCTGCACCTCTTGACTGACTGGAACAGTATATCATAGCCTGATACCTCTACTTGTGTACTGTGTGCCAACTGACAAAAGTTATGTCACAATAAATTGGTTAATCTTTAAAGACTATCACAAGACTGTTCTGCTGGAAAGGCATTTCCTAGAGATTTGGATGGTTATTTTTAATACACCCACAGAGTGGCTATAGCTGACAGAATGCTCATATCAGCCTTACATTTGTTAATCCTTAAACTCTCCAAGAGAACAGCCGCTTTGTTTTGCTGTAACTAGTAAATCCATGAGCACAAGAGGCAGCATAAAGTAACAGTATCCTTATTGCAGGGTGCTGAATTAGTTCATGACAAACCTTGCATTTCCAGGTTCCTCAAGTTATATTTCTGAATGACACTGCTACCCTGACACAGTGGAGGAAGCACTCCAAGCAAATAATCTCAAATGATCGCTAGGAACAACCCTGCTTTTCTGGTAGCTTGCCCATATTTATCTTCAAGCTCCAGTCTTCCACTTCTTATAAAGTTAAACCTTTGAAAGGAGGAACGATAGATCTTATTTCTAATGCTTGGTACAATACAAGCACATGGCCTATCATTTCACATGCTGCATTTTAAACTCTGGATAACACGACAGGATAATTATGTTTTTCTACTGCTACTTTGAACAAAAACATGCTTGAAGCTGTGGAGTCTTGTGAGCACAAATTCTACTTTGTGAGCTCCTGGCATTAAAGTTGTGAGCGAGCCATTTGGTTGCTGCACAAATTAGTTTGCTTTGAGGTCCTCCTTCCTGAGCTAAGGCAAAAATCTGTGAGCTGGAGACTAAAAAACTGTGAGCTAGCTCACACCAACTCAGCTTAGAGGGAACACTGCTTTGAACAAAAACATGCTTGTTTTTTTAAATCAGTGCAGAACAAGCTGGTACAGAGGAAATGAATACAGTGGGCAGAGGAAAGCCTTCAACAACAAGCATTTGTGGGATGTGGGGAGCACTCCGACAGTGACCTTTGTTATGACAGCACAGCTTTACTAGTTCAAGCATTCCACTTTCCTTCTTTGAAATAATGGCATATGCTGTAGCTCCAAAGCCTTGTTGATAACAGGTACCTCATATGAGACACTGTTTCACTTTGATAGCAGTAACTGCTAAAACAAACATTGTTAGCCCTAGGATCTGCTTAACATATAAAATATAACACTTAAGTGGGTACATGAATAGCAACGTTAGCCAGGAGCACACAAGTTTCATGATAGCAGGCATCACTGCCATCTTCTGTTTCAAGAACAGCATTGCATGGGAAGTCAAGATCTGAGTGGACATCAAAGAGTTATCAGAAGTTCTTGGAAGTGGATAAAATTTGCATTGCTTTATGTCAGTTAATGATTTGCTTCAACACACTTGGATAGTACATTCTTCTTGGACTACTACTTTTTAATGCACCTTTTAACATTAGAGTGGCTCTCAAGAGAATCACTATAGATGTGTATGTATCTTTCTTTCAAAACTGTGGGGGAAATTAGATGTATAGGCAATGGAATCTTAGAGCAGCAGGGATCTTTGCAGGTCTGCTCTATAAATACCTGAGGGGGGAAAAAAGCACTCTTCAGATGTCATTACAGAATATAGTTTATTTATGGAATTTTACAAATAACTTTACAAGGTCACATGACATAAGTTATGTTCTTTGTCTCAACAAATTCTTACAACACCTGAGTTATTAAAATACTGAGATGGGGTGTGGGAGGAGAATCAACCTTTTAAAATCAGACATATTAAAAGAAATGCAATCAAAAGCCCGGGATTACCCACTGGTCAGTTTTGGTTTTCCCCCTCCCTCAATCCCTATCATCAAAGGATAACAATTCAGGCACAGGCAGGAGGTGTTATTTCCTGCCTCCTTTAAAATGATTTATATAAAAGACAATAACTGTAGCCTCCTTAGGTTCCAAAGTGGCAAGCAGATGAAGACTGCAGTTTTATAGATGCATGGGAGTAAGAGTCACTGAACTCAGTGACACTTACTACTACATAAACATTCATAGGACTGGAGAGCACATGAATTTCCTGTAAAAAAATTCATAGTCACTTCCATATGGAGTCCCTATTGACACAATTTCTCTTTTTCATTCTGTGACTTCATTAACTCAGGTCCACACTGAAAAGGTACTCAGACAACATAAATTATTGTAATAAACAGCCAAAAACATCTTAGAATAGGGATGTGTATGTTGAGGTGATGAACAACAGGATCAGGCTGCTACCCAGTTTAATTTCAGAAATAACCTAAAATACTGACTTGACAGTCAATAATTCAGGGAGCTAATAGAGATGTACCTTCTTACTATTGCTAAAGGAAATTTGTCTTGGTTCAAAAAGGTTAATTCCAGAATTAAAGCCACATGTATGACTGCATCATAGGCTGAATCCCTGCCAATAGTTCTCCCTGTGGAAAACATCCACAACAGTTTTGCCAATCCCCTCTCCTGCAGCAGATCTCCAGCTCCCTCTTCATACAGTCCATACAAGTCCCCTGTGCCCCACAAGCAACATTTTAGAAGGCATTTTGTGCTGCAGCAGAAGTGAGAAGGCAGACAGG